ACCTGAGAAATGGAAGACAGCTAATGTAGTCCCCATATTTAAGAAAGGAAACAGAAACGAGGCACTAAACTACAGACCTGTGTCTCTGACATGTATTGTGTGCAAAGTCATGGAGAAGATTATCAGGAGGAGAGTGGTCGAACACCTGGAAAGGAACAAGATTATAAATGAAAACCAGCATGGGTTCATGGAAGGCAAATCTTGTATCACAAACCTCCTGGAGTTTTATGACAAGGTAACAGAAGTAAGACACGAGAGAGAGAGGGGTGGGTAGATTGCGTTTTCCTAGACTGCAGGAAGGCCTTTGACACAGTTCCCCACAAGAGATTAGTGCAGAAGCTGGAGGATCAGGCACACGTAAAGTGCAGAAGCTGGAGGATCAGGCACACGTAAAGTGCAGAAGCTGGAGGATCAGGCACACGTAAAAGGAAGGGCACTGCAATGGATAAGGGATTACCTGACAAGGAGGCAGCAACGAGTCATGGTACGTGAAGAGGTATCACAGTGGGCGCCTGTTACGAGCGGGGTCCCACAGGGGTCAGTTCTAGGGCCAGTGCTATTTTTGATATATGTGAACGACATGATGGAAGGAATAGACTCTGAAGTGTCCCTGTTCGCAGATGACGTGAAGTTGATGAGAAGAATTAAATCGGACGAGGATGAGGCAGGACTGCAAAGAGACCTGGAGAGGCTGGACATGTGGTCCAGTAACTGGCTTCTCGAATTCAATCAGCCAAATGCAAAGTCATGAAGATTGGGGAGGGGCAAAGAAGACCGCAGACAGAGTATAGGCTAGGTGGACAAAGACTACAAACCTCACTCAGGGAAAAGACCTTGGGTGACCATAACACAGAGCACATCACCGGAGGCACACATCAACCAAATAACCGCTGCAGCATACGGCGCCTGCAAACCTGAGAATAGCGTTCCGATACCTTAATAAGGAATCGTTCAAGACACTGTACACTGTGTATGTTAGGGCCCATACTGGAGTATGCAGCACCAGTCTGCGTTTTTCCATCACAACTTCAGCCCTCACCCCATGGACTTCGTAAGAGCCCCAATGTTGCACCACGAAACGACCAGACCCAGACCAAAAATTTTTAAAAAGCAGCAATGATCCACCTCACCAAAACCAGTGAAAGAAAAAGGGAAAGTCATTTTAAACGTGACCTATTGAACACACTGCCCACCGATTCATAAAAATAACCCTTTATTTTGTCCCCTTTACCCCCCCATCCTCTGATCCCAACCCCCAATACCTAACCCCCGGCAGACTTCTTTTCGAAAGTTTTTGAGCCCTTGAGTGACCTTTTGTCTCAGGGGCCCTTTGTGTTAATGTCTTTCTCTGAGCTTGACCAAAATTTAGAAAAAAAGAAATTAGGGGGCACCCTCCTTCCCCCAAACGCCCTTTTATTTCAAATTTTGTCACCATTTTGCTAAAAACTACTTCCAGCCCCAAAAAAATATATTCATAAATAAAAATCCCCCAAAGGGAAATAAAAAAATAAGAAAAAATCAAATTTTTTTTAGAAAATTTATTGTAACTCTACTCCTTACTAAATTTTTACCTGATAAAATTACAAAGCCCCAGAGTTTTTTCCCACGTCAAGTGTCAGACAAGCTCCCCCCAAGGCTCCTTTCACCTCCTAGGGCGGGTAAATTTGCCCGAATCCACAATTTTTTTTGGCTTGGGGAGGGCTGATACAAAATCCACACGGGTAGGGGTATTGGCTTTGCAGGTTCTTGAAAATTCTTTTCCCCGGGTTGGCAGTGGTTTCCCCTCAAAATCTGTTAAAAAATTTTGGGGTCGCATTTGATAATGTTAACGTTTCCCTTTAATATGCTGACGCAAGGTTTGGGCTTCTTCAAAATTCAAATTAAATACCAAGTCCACCTGTGTTTTCCACAACAAAAACCCAACCATAAAGCTGTTTTTTCTCCGATAAAAGGGAATCCCCACCATTTCCTTCCACCTTTCTTTTTGGGAAATAAAATTTATTTTTTTCAAAAAAAAAAATTCCAAAAATGTCTTTATCTAGGAAGGGATTTTTTTACATAGTAATTAAAAAATAACGGGAAGTTTTTCTTTTCGGGAAGATAATGAGCTCAATTTTTGAAGGGGTTTCCCCCTCCCTTTTTAAACTTTTATATATTTATATAATAAAATATAAAATTTATATATATATAAATATATAATTAAATATAAATATATAAAAATATTTATTTTTATTATCACACGGGCCCCTTTTCCCCCCCAAAGGGCCCAGGGGGGCCCCCAAAAAAAAAAACCTTTCACTTTTTGCCAAAAAGGGGTGCTTTACATACAGTTTTTAAACTGAAAACATTAACCCCCCCCCTTTTCAGAGTCCCAGGCACGTACTTCCCATCTCCAGGACTCAATTTCCCGGCCTCCCTTTTTTCCCCCCTGAATCCCTTCAAAAAATGTTACTTTGCTCACCCCCCAAACCCAGCACTTTCAAGTATTAAAAACCTTTTGGGTTCTCCTTTCCCACTCCTATCAAACACGCTCAACCATGCCTCGGGAAATTTCCCAAGCCCCTCGCACAAAAAAAACCCCCTTTTAAACCCCCTCCCCCCAAACCCCTTCCTGGGCCGCCCCCTACCCCCCCTTTCCCTTTCCCACACAGACTGATACCTCTTGAAGTTTTCTGTTTCGCTCCATTCCTCTACATGCCGAACCACCTCAACAACCCTTCCTCACCCCGGGAAAAACCTTTTTGGGGTAATCCCGCACCTCCTCCTAATTAAAAAACTACGAATTCTCCTGCATTAAAAATTCACACCACACATTCCCCTCAGACTTTACTTTCTCCACTTCCCTTCCACCCTTTCCCTGGGCTGCAACATTCACCCACCCAGGGCTTCAAAACCCATAAAAAAGTTTTTGGAAAAACTATACTCTCATACATTCCCCTTTTTGGCCTCCAAGGACAAAGTTTCTCTGTCTCCACGACTCCAAAGGCACCACTCACTCTTTTTCCCCTCATCAATTCTATGATTCACCTCTTTCTTCAAAAACCCCATCCCGGGAACACGCCCCATTTCCCAAAAATCTGAATACTTTTCACCTCCCCCCAATACTCTCCCCCCTCCAATCTGATTTTTCAATCTTTCATCACCTTTTTTTTGTTACCCCTCATAACCTTACCTTTCCTGTTTTCACCTTTAATTTTTTCTTTTGCACACCCCCCAAAATTTTCCATCCCCACCAATTTTCTGCAGTTTCTCTTCAAAAATCCCCCAAAGGGCCACATTGTCATCACCCAAAGAAAAGCTGTGAAAACCTCCCACCCTGTGTTTTGATTCTTTATCTTTTAACTCCACCCCTTCTTCCCAAAAGACCCTCGAATTTACTTCTCTTAAAACCCCCACTATAAATACATTAAACAACCCAGGGGTAAACATCACACATCCTTGCCCAAAAGGCCTTTTTTACTGGGAAAAAATTTCCCCCTTTTCCCTACATACCAACTGAGCCTCACTATCCTCGAAAAAACTCTTCATTGCTTTCATTTAACCTACCTCCTACACCATACACTTCCCAACCCCGCCACATTCCCCTCCTACCCAAACCTGTCATACGTTTTTTTTTTTTTTCCAAACCCCCATAAATGCCACAAAAAACCCCCTTTTTAGCCTTATCAAAATTTACTTTTCCATTTAAAATTTTTCATTTAAATAAACACCTGGTCCACACACCCCCTCCCCCTTTCCTAAACCCTTCCTTTTCATCTGCTATCCAAATCTCCTTCTTATCCTTAATTCTTTCAATTATAACCCTCTACCATACACTTTACCAGGTACACTAAACGACTTACCCCCCTATAATTTTTGCACTCTCTTTTACCCCCTTTTCCTTTTTATACAAAGGAAAATAGCAGCTCTCTGCCAATCCCTAGGTACCTTACCCCCCTTCCATAAATTTTAAATTAAATAATTGCCCCAACCACCCCAAAACTTATCCCCACCTGTTTTTTAACATTTCTATTTTTATCCCATCAACCCCCTGCCTTACCCCCTTTCATTTAAACCTACTGCCTCACGAACTTCCCCCACACTCACAACGGGCTCTTCCTCACCCCCACAAGATGTTATTCCCCCTTTGGGCCCTTACACAAAATTCACAGTTTCCCATCTTAAACCCAACTTTTTAAAAATTCCCAAAATTTTCCCCCTCCATTTTCCCCAAAACCTCAAACCCTCTCCAAAAAAATTTCTCTCCTCTCCATTTTTTTAAATGACAAATCCTTTTTTCCTAGGTTTTCCAAAACCCTTTTTTAATTCACCCCCCAAAAATTTTTTCTTATTTTCAACAAAATTTTTTTGATAACAACCACCCACCTCTCATTTGCTTTTTTTTTTAAACATGTTTTTTAAACCACTCTCTTAACCTCCCCCTTTTTTTTTCTCCAAATCCCTTTTCCCCCCCCTTTGCATAAACTTCAAACTTTGTAAAAACTTCTCATATTTAATTTTTTCTCCCTTACTACTCTTTTAAACATCATCTTTCCCCACCAACCCCTCCTTTTCCCCTCCTGCACCCACTTTCCGGTAACCAAAAACTTCTGCTAAACCACCCCAACATACTTTTAAAAAAACCTCCCCCATTCCTCTTCGACCCCATTGCCAAAGCCCCTCATTACCCCACCCTATCCCCCAAATACTGTTTAAAATCTTACCCAAACCCTGCCCCCCCTTTTTTAGTTTATAAACCTTCACCTCTCTCTTCCCCCTGAGTTTCCCTTAATTCTCCTTGTTCCCATCTACCTTTTACTCCCATTTAACTACAACAAAAGTGATCTGAAATATCTGGGGCCCCTCGATAAACTGTACATCCTGAAGTCTACCCCCCAAACCCAGCCCTTTTTATCTACCAATACATAATCCAACAAACTACTTCTTTTTCCCCCCCTACATCATATCGTGTATCCCTTATTTATCCTCTTTTTTTTAAAATATGTTTTACCATAACAAAA